AGGGCAGTCCTCTTCGAAGCTCTGAGCGGCAGGCTCAACTGGCGCGCGTGACAACGTGTCCGCATCTTCGTGTGCACGACCGGACTTGTACACGATAGTGACGTCGTACTCCTGCAGACGTAGGCTCCACCTTGCCAGTCGTCCGGAGGGGTCTCTGAGGTTCGCAAGCCAGCACAGCGAGTGATGATCCGTCACTACTCTGAATGGACGGCCGTAAAGGTAAGGTCGAAACTTAGCAATTGCCCACACGACAGCAAGGCACTCCTTCTCCGTGGTACTGTAGTTTGACTCCGGGCGTGTTAGGGTTCGGCTTGCGTAGGCGATAACCTTTTCAATTCCCTCCTGCCGTTGGACGAGTACCGCGCCCAGACCGACGTTACTGGCGTCGGTATGAATTTCTGTTTCGGCTTCCTCGTCGAAATGTCCAAGAACAGGTGGTGATGCCAGGCGAAGCCGAAGCTCTGTGAATGCTGATTCTTGTTCAGCACTCCAAACGAACGGCGTATCGTCTCTAGTGAGTCTAGTTAATGGTTCGGCAATTTTCGAAAAGTTGCCTATAAAGCGCCGGTAGTACGCGCATAGACCAAGAAACCGCCGCACACTTTTCTTATCGGCAGGAGTCGGGAAGGCTGCGACAGCGGCGGTTTTCTCAGGGTCAGGACGGACGCCTTCTGCGCTTACGACATGTCCAAGGAACTTTAGTTCTTCGTAACCGAAATGGCATTTTTGCGGCTTTAACGTAAGGTTAGCCGTCCGAATCGCCTCAAGTACTTGTCGTAGTCGCTTCAGATGTTCGGAGAAGCTGGTTGAAAACACGACCACATCATCCAAGTACACAAGGCAGCTTTGCCATTTTAAGTCAGTCAACACAGTGTCCATCATGCGTTGGAAGGTAGCTGGCGCAGAGCAGAGTCCGAACGGTAGCACCCGAAATTCGTAGAGGCCATCCGGCGTGACAAAGGCGGTTTTTTCGCGGTCGCGCTCATCAACCTCAATTTGCCAGTAGCCACTCTTTAAATCCAGGGAAGAAAAATACTTCGCTCGTCGTAGTCGGTCAAGCGAGTCATCAATACGCGGCAGCGGATAAACATCTTTTTTTGTGACGTTGTTGAGCTTTCTGTAATCTACACAGAAGCGAAGCGTACCGTCCTTCTTCTTAACCAGAACGACCGGTGAGGACCAGGGACTGTTCGAAGGCTGGATAACGCCGTCGTCGATCATTTCTTTCACTTGCTGCTTGATAGCTGCGCGTTCTGTCGGCGAGACGCGGTATGGCTGTTGGTGAATAGGTCTTGCGTCGTCGTAAGTGATTATCCTGTGCTGTGTAATTGGCGTCTGACTCACTTTAGACGACTGAGCAAAGCACGCCCTGAATTCAAACAATAGCTCTCGCAAGGCCCTCTGGTTCTCTTCTGGCAGTGCACTGTTCATGTCAACATCTATTACGGTTTGTCCATTGCGGCTACTGTCTTCACAGGCAAAACACTCAATGACGTCCTCCAAGGCTTCAGCGTAGGCGACCGCAGTGCCCCGGAAAAGGTGACGATGCTCATTGGTGAAATTTGTAATCATGACCTCGGCTGTACCGTTCCGAATGTCAATGATGCCTCGTGCCACAGAAATTCCAAGCGCCAGCAGCAGGGAGACGTTGCACTCTGCCACTGTTTCACCGTCACTGGTTCCTTCGGAAGTCACCTGAATTAGGATACTTGCACGAGGTGGTATTGTGACACTGTCGTCGGAAACACGGAGGGCGGTTGTACGGCGGTTGGAGTCCCTTGACGTAGCGTTGACTGTCGAAAAGGAAATGCAGCGTCGCCGTAGGTCGATTACGGCGCCATATTCCTGAAGAAAATCGAGGCCGAGAATTAATTCGCGGGAGCAGTCACGTAGCACGATGGAGCTGACCAAAAACGTGCAGCCTCGTATTTGTAGCCTGGACGTGCACAAACCAACCGGCGTTACAACATGTCCGCCAGCTGTACGTACATGCGATCCTGTCCAAGGCATTATCACTTTCTTCAAGGTACGTGCCAATTGTCCGCTAATAATCGAGTAGTCAGCACCAGTGTCTATTAAGGCAGTTAAATTGCGACCGTCGAGCAGCACAGGTATGTCCATTGAAAAGTCGCTCAGCTGGGATACAGGCGCCGGCGTAGTCGAATTTCCGTTGGTCCGATGTCGCGTCGATTGGAGGGCGAGGTCTTCATCACGTCGAGAATCAGCGGCCTCGCCTCGAAAGGTCGCTGGCGTTAGTTTTCCAGGCGAGGGCTCGGAGACCGTCCTTGCGGCCTTCGATTTCCGTTGCCTGAATAAGATGACGACCGCGGTGACGGTGAGCGCGACTGACGCCTGAGTGGGACGTTCTGCCGAGCGATAAAATCTTCAATTTCTGGTGGTCTCTGTCCAAACCGGGGGCGGGGTGAATTGGCAGGAAAACCCTGCAGCCCAAGTCGGCGGTACTGGCAGTCTCGGTAGAGGTGACCCGCTTCACCGCAGTGGTAGCAAAGCGGTCGTCGGTCGGGCATGCGCCATATGTCGGATTTACGCATGACGGGTCGAGTGTCTGCAAAATAAGGGACCACCTGTGCGGACTGCAGTGTGGCGTACGGGGTTGCGGCTGGTAGTGGGACTGGTGCAGGTGCGTTGTGTTCGAACGTGTCGGTATAAGTGGTGCGCTGGAAACCACTCACTGGGGATGGTGTCGTGGACGACGGAACGGTGCGTCTCAATACGTCTGCGTAGGTCACCCCTAGAGGTTCACTTGAAGTTGCGAACGCCTGAAGTGGTGCAGCAACCTGCGTTGGTGTCTCGCGGCGAGGTGTGCCGAGCGCATGCTGAACTTCGTCACGTATGATGGTGGCGATGCAATTCGTGGAAGGCTGCTGCTGCGCCTGGTTCAGCTGTTGCAGCTGTTGTAGCTCGTCGCGAACAACCGAACGTATCAGCTCGCGAAGCACTCCCACGTCGGTCGGGAACGAGCCTAGCCCGGTGGTATAGGTAGCATTCACTTGCCGATCGTACTGGTTCCGCTGCTGCAGCGCCCTTTCCATGGCGACGGCTTCAGTGAGGAACTCCGCGACCGTTCTAGGCGGACTACGAATGAGTCCAGCGAAGAGCTGCTCTTTCACACCTCGCATCAAGTGTCGCAGCTTCTTGTCTTCCGGCATGGTTGGATCGGCGCGAGTGAACAGATGAACCATATCCTCCACGTATGTAGCCACACCTTCATTAGGCATCTGCATGCGGGACTGGAGGGCCCTTTCAGCGCGCTCTCGACGATCGAGACTCGAGTACGTTTCGCGGAGCCTGTGACAGAACTCATGCCACGACGTTAGGAGGCCCTTGCGGTTCTGGAACCATGTGCGAGCACCATCCAGAAGACTAAAGTACACATTCTTGAGCTTCGCTACTTCGTCCCACCCGTTGAAATCCGCTACGTACTCGTACTCAGCCAGCCAATCTTCCACATCTTCATAGAGGCCACCACGAAAGGGACTCGGAACACGTGGTTTTTGTAGCGTGTAATGAGTGGGTGCAGCTGCGGGTGCAGCGGTTGGAGCAGCGGCGGCTCCAGCGGTAGGGGAAGCGGTGACAGCAACAGTATTCTCCATACCAGTCGACGTACTTGTACTGTGAGGCACAAACTCGGGGGACAGTCCTCGAATCCTCCGACTGAAACGGTGTACCGGCGTAAGCTCTGGGTTTTGGGTCACGTTCCGGCTGCTAGAAGGAGTCTGTTGCATAGGTGAGGTTACCCCGCACCTCCACCATTAAAATGTCACGTTAAAGAGACAGGAGACGTTTTTAAGGCGTCCTCACAAAAGTCCGAAGAGCGGTCGGCTCAGCACAGCCAAAAACAGAACAATGGCACGAGGGGAACTGCCACTTCGTCTGCCTCTTTTGCGCTGGCAGATCAAGCGCGCGGCAATATAAGGAATAAAAGGGGACCGAGAACCGAACCCTGGGGTACTTCGGACGTTACTGGAAGAGGATTAGAGGTACGGTTGTTGATATTAACAGACTGGGAACGGTTTGTAAGGAATTCCCTAATCCAATTTAGTATGTCCGGGTGAAGATTTAACTGGGAAAGCTTTAGTAACAGTCGAGAATGGGGTACTTTGTCGAACGCATTGGAAAAATCTAAGAATACGGCATCGGTTTGTAAGTTACAGTCTAGGTTAGTATGCAAATCATGAACAAACAAGGCCAGTTGCGTTTCACAAGAGAAACCTCTGCGGAACCCATGTTGTTATGAAAAAAGCTCTTTGAATCAAGAAAGTCTATGATATGAGTGTAGATGACGTGTTTCATGATTTTACAGGGCACGCTGGTTAAAGAAATGGGACGATAGTTTAATGGCGAGTTTTTGTTACCCGATTTGAAAATTGGAACGACCTTCCCGTTCTTCCAGTTATCTGGTAGGCGTTCTGTTAAAAGTGACTGTGAGAAGAGCAAGCATAGTAAAGATGCACAAATATATTTTGTATTCTTAAGGAATTTGGAGTTGATTTCGTCAATATCAGAATAGGAGGAAAGTTTAAATTTGTCAATTAAGTAACTAATTCCATTAGAGTGAATGATACCGGTGGCATAGCACATTCTATAATAGTGGTGCTATTGTAAATGACACGTTACTTTCTTTGGTAAACACGGATTAGAAAGCGGTGTTGAAGATGTTAGCGCATTGATCATCAGTGAATACGTCACCCGATTCACTGGTCGAATGGTTTTCTGGGTGTTTTGACGAATTAACGGTTTAAATGCAAATTCGGTATGGATGACCTTATGGTCACTTATTTCGGGGAGATAAGTAATCGAGACCATGTCATCTGGGTGACTGGTTAGTATTAGGTCCAAAATATCTTCACACTCTTGTGTTACGCGTGTTGGTGCAGTTACCATTTGTAAAAGAATAAAATTTAAACAAACGTCCAGGAAAGCCTCGGCATCGCCTTGTGCCTAAGCGTGCTAGTGGACAAGCACTCAACTTGCTTCATTATTCATAAGTTCTAGTAACCCAATATTGGTTGAGCACTTCACCATTTTGACAGCTTCTTTTGATAACTGTAGTCATGCCCTACTGATGTGATTATCTGTGCAGACTCCACATTTCTGTCCATGAGCTGCTGTTTCAGAACTTCTTTTTGAACTTCGGTAGGCTTTGAAAGACTTGATGAAAGTTGGGATGATCTGGCTTCTTTGTAGAATAGAATCTGACTTGACGCTCGACTTTCTTGTTTTCTGGTTCATTAGATTGGTCTGGCAACTTTCTTTTCTTGTTGCCTTCAACAGGCTGCAAGACTGGCTCAAACAACTTACTCCCCTTCTCCATCACTTCCTCCGACACTTCGCTATCCACTATTGCTTGTTTGACAGACTCCATCTTCGCTTTGAATAATGCTGCACTTGACACTTTTGTGGCTGCGTCGAGCTTCGTAATGCTTTTCATTATGTGCAATGCCTGGCTCATTTCACTTGCTGTTTCAGATGGGCTCTCATAGTCATTATCGTCACTGCTTGATGGTGTATTACCAATGATGACACAGTGAATGTGCTTGCACGCTGTGAAATGTATCAGGTGCACATAGCAAGTGCACCTGTAAGTATGCACACACACTGCACATTCCTTGCATCTCAAGGGACAGCAAGTGTCATCCATAACTTTCGTCACGATATAAGAGTGCCCTTAAGTAGACTGAGAAGGCACAGTCCACATGCCATCTTTGCTTAATTTTGCACAGCCTACCATTTCAGTGCCAGACCTGTGGTACCTTTCTATTGCACTCAACTTTTGCCCTTGGCTCCTTTGATCGTCTGGATTGCCCTCTTCATCAAAAATACGTCGAAATGCATTAGGGCAGAAATTAGTTTATCAACACGCTTATTCTTCCTTCCCTCCAACATGCTGTGCTTCCATGTTCTGTGCATACTCTCAAGGTGCATGTTGGTGTCGATACCTGCCCTAGTCCTAAAGCAGTAGGCCCACTCTGACTGACACTAACGTCAGCGAAACAGTAAAATGCGAGATGGAACGTATCCTGTCGTCGCATGCTCGAGTTTTGAGGACTAACTTCGCTTTTAGTGCAACACTCTGCATCATTATTTTTGAGAAGGGCACTTGAGAAGGGCATCCGTCCTCTGCCCGGCTCACAAATGTTTCGCACTGCTTTCAACAAGTTCCTGATAGAAGTTGTGAAACGATCTCTTCTTTGGGACGTCAAGATGGAAGATTTCCGCAAAAACCATAAGAAGAGCATTCTTTGGGAAGAAATTGCCGAACTCGCATACTTCCATAAAGTAAACGTCACGGCTTGAACTGGCCATGTTCACTGGTGAAGTCGAAGAGCAGCTGTTTTCATTTCGTTGCTCTCGACGATGCTTTTGCGGTAGTGACAATCGCGTGCGGTGCCTTTTTTTTTTGTTTCAATAACATTATTACTACTTTCGTTTTCCTGTTTTTGCGTTTTCATCGAAAGTTATTCCCAGGTAGAGGAGCCGCATGGCACGCCGTACTTCTATGTCGCAGCAATTGTTGCTGGTTTAACAAATGATGACATTTGGTGTCGCGGTGCATAGATGAAAGGCTCCACACGAACGAGAGAGCAAGGACAGCTTCTACGGTAGTAGACTTGAGAAGTAGCATTCCACACAGGTCACTGAAAAGGAATTTTGTGATGTGACTCAACAAAGAAGGGGCGCGAAGCTTCCTGCCATGGTTCGCGGAAATAAGGCACTCATCAGGGGCCTTTATTTATTTATTTTTGAGTTCATCTGGGCTTACATTACTACACACATTCCAGTCTTAAAAAAGGCAGTTGCAAAAGTGTCACAGGGCCCTTTTAAGCATTTTTTTTCTCTTAGTTTCCATGGGCATGTTAACTCCTGTAATTTTCGGTGAGTAAAAAAAGCTTGAGAAACAAAAGAAAAGTTTCTTTCATGCCCATGTTCTGAAGCACTCTATGTTACCACGTGATGAGTGAAGGAACTACACATATGATGTGTTTCAGTTGCAATTATAGTTAGTTGGAAGCTGCCCTTTGTGTGTCGTTTTCGCTGTGCCGGTCTGGTGTGCTCACCTGTTTCAATACATCATAAGCCTATTGGATATATTTGCTCTGCATTTTTTTTAAGTAGTGGAGGCAGGTATATGATAAGTTATTCACAGAATTTTTTGCTTCTTTAAATATAATGATAATATGTCTCTAGTTAACATGGAGAAAGTACAGCTGAACCCACAAATTGGTTAAAAGATATTAAGTACACCATACTATAATTTGAACTGCGCTCGAGCTTACTAAATATTTGACTCAAATGACCAATTAATATTACATTGCGGTAAAGAGACAAGCGCATTTTTCCTTAGCCCGGCTGCTTAAGCCTGTCTATTGTTCCCCGCACAAATACTTCATAAAAACGTTATTTCCTCGTTGCCTTGACGCAAAATCACTGGTGAAGTATGGCGCACAACAAAGTTCAATAAAGCCTCAATCAATGCTTTCAAAACATTTGTCAGAATTACACCTTCAAATCGACGATACTATTCACAAAAGCACGTGCGTCCTGTCTAACACCAGAAAGGCATGTGAGCTTAGAGAGAAAAACAATAAGCGACGCAAGCCGCAGTTCTTCCAGTGCGATTGCGAGCGGCAATTAGCTCTTCTGTGCATTATTTTATTTTCCACGCGACAAGCACACAAAAATTACCAAGCTGGCTCAGTTCATACGCGTGCAAACGATCATGTGCTGTACAGCCGCACCACAAAAGATGATAATAATGTACTGGAATTGCTTTTCCTAACAACTATCAACCAGTTAAAGCATGGGTCACTCACCTTTATCGTTGAGGAACGCGCGCTGCACGTACTCGGCGACGAATTCGTGCGTTGCGATGTGGTGCCTCACATACTCTTCTAGTGAAGACAGGCCAACGCCACAAACGTCACATTTCACGTGCGTATTGACTTCTGCGGTTACTTTATGGACGTCCCTGACATGCCAAAGCATGTTTTTCCTCTTGGTGAACAACAAACTGCAAATCTTGCAACGACGGCTTTCGTCGTCAATGACAGCTCAATCACAGTTGACCTGCGCCATTCCAAAGCGGAGTGAACAAGAACGGACATAGTACAAACTGGTAGGTGTTCTGTGACATAGTTGCGAGCACCTGTATTTGTAGATTTTCGTGCGGCATTGTAATCCAATTACCCACGGCATGCTATCGTTGCCCCGTGAGTAGTGACAACGCCTCCTAGATTTCCTGTGCCTGCCGCATTATAGGCGGTCACTTGGAAAACGGTGGTTCTCGGAACTACGGTGGTGGCTCTACTCAAGTAGGGATGCCTTCAAATAGAGTTTTACGTTTTTGGAGCTTATATGCAACAAAAGTAACGTAAAAAGTTTTAAAAAGACGTAAACGTAATTATAAACAACCCTACTTAAGTGACGCCGTCCTTCAGCAAGCAAATTTTTTTATACAAGGCATCCTCTGAAGTTAGTGGCAAACGCCAAAAATGCCGATCTCTAAGGCCAAGTACAAAAACTCTTACTCCTACGTAGGCAGCGCTGCCATAGATGAGTGGCGTTTCGCGCTCACCCGGCCGGCAGGCACGAGAAATCTAGGAGACATTGGTAGTGAAGATGACACTAAATGACACTAAGGATGAAATCACTCATCAAGCACGTGACACACTAGGCACTTCGTGGTGATACGAGGGAAAGTCAAAACTAGCTTAAAAAAAACTTCAAGTGACGCCACATGTGAGTGACGTAGCAGTGACGTCATTTATTGTTTGCGAAGGAGAGGTCCTGACGTCACTCGTTGTGAAGCCGCAAAATGAAGCCGGAAGTCGACCATATTGACTAGGCAAATTCTCCTCTCTTGTTTACATATGAATGCGAAGCAGAAGGCGCGACTCTCTCCGGCTCGGAAAGCACGTGGGCTGCGCAGCGCGTGTGTCGTGACGATCCGAAACTAATGGAACTGGGCTCATCACTCTGAGCCAGCGGGACACCTTCAGCGAAATCGCTTCGTCCGAGTAATAACAGGGAGTAATAGCTCGCCGACAACGAAGCAACTACGAAAGAACGCGCGCTGGATGTACTGTCAACAGCGAGTGCTTTCACGTCATTAATTCAGCAACTGTACAGACAACACGATCGGTCATGTGCCTTCTACGGTTGCATTCCGCCACGCGACCGACGCAGCGTCCTGCCACTGTGTGCGTGTTCCGCGTGAAACTCACCGGCGTCATCATTCTGCGACCGTGGTGACTTTGAGCACGGTGCTAGTGACAGTTGAACGCGGTTGCTGTTACGTTGAGGTTACATGCAATGCTGGTGGAGAGTGTACCAAGCGGAACAGAAAAGGTGCTTTATTAAGCACATGCAAGTTGTTACTGTACACACAACACGAAACTACGTATTTGCACATGGTCCTCACGGCGTCTTGCTGGGCTCAACAGCGTCGTCCGTTGTCACAAGCAGGAGCACTGCTCAACCGTCACTGACCTGCAAGGCGTTCGTCGTCATTCAGCTTCGTCATGGTGCCCAACGCAATTTCGCTGAACACTAACTGCTTCATCCGCGTCATCCGCCGCACGACACATGGATATGCACTTGTTCTACGCATTGTTGAAACCCCGTGATGGACAAAGGGATTTGTAAACGTTCCTAAGAGTAATGTAACTGCCAGGAGAACACTGCGTAACCAATAACGCGGCGCCGAGCACAGATATTGTCCGCCACGGCTCAGCACGAGACCTGGGGAGGCACACATTCCGCCGCCAGCCGCGGCCGCTCACTGCTAGACCAGCTCCACTGCGCAACACGTAACCATAGCAACGCCGCCATTGTGCCTAGTGAATATGGCCGCCATGATGTTATTTCCGCCACATTTTTTACGCCCTGCGCCGGCTGGGCATGCCCTCTCCTTACTTTTACTTGTTCACGACAGAGTCCAGACTTTGGCGAAAAGCATAAAGTCTTGCTCGGTTGCTGCACTGCTGCGCAATGGTTAGTAGGGCAATGTTTCGGTTCACCCGGCGGCACGAACCTTTTTGAGAAAAAACGCTCGGTTCACTCAATAGCCGCTTAAAACCGGCTTGACTTGGCCGAAAGTGTATGAATAGACGGCGTTAGAATCGCTGTATTAGAAAACTTTTCTCGGGAGATTTAGGCGTTCTTTATTTTGTGGTTCAGGTAGAGTTTCTCACTAGCTTGTGACACACAGTCTGTGGCGGGTTCGTCGTATTCTAGTCGTGATGTTTTTTTTTTTTTTTTTTGTCCGATGTTGGTGTTGGATTGGACTGTAATCTGTTTGAAATGGCGAGAACCGCCTCTGCCCGTGGGGACGTGGTCGCTTTCTGTTGTAAAGCCTGTTTCACATGCGAGCGATTTCGCTGCAAAAGCGGAGCGGCAGCCGCCACGTGAGGCCAAAACAGGTTTTTACCGCGGCGACTATACGCCCTTGTGAAATTCGCCAGAGTTGGAAAAATTCGCTAGCGGCACAAGCGGCAGAGCGACCAGTGACGTCGTTTGACACGTGATGACGGGGGTGGAGTCGAGAAGTTGACGCGTGCGCTGCGAGGAACTGGTTCCACAGAACAAATCGCTCCGACTGAGTAGCAGACGACATCCGTCCTCTGCCCGGCTCACAAATGTTTCGCACTGCTTTCAACAAGTTCCTGATAGAAGTTGTGAAACGATCTCTTCTTTGGGACGTCAAGATGGAAGATTTCCGCAAAAACCATAAGAAGAGCATTCTTTGGGAAGAAATTGCCGAACTCGCATACTTCCATAAAGTAAACGTCACGGCTTGAACTGGCCATGTTCACTGCAGAAGTCGAAGAGCAGCTGTTTTCATTTCGTTGCTCTCGACGATGCTTTTGCGGTAGTGACAATCGCGTGCGGTGCCTTTTTTTTTTTTGTTTCAATAACATTATTACTACTTTCGTTTTCCTGTTTTTGCGTTTTCATCGAAAGTTATTCCCAGGTAGAGGAGCCGCATGGCACGCCGTACTTCTATGTCGCAGCAATTGTTGCTGGTTTAACAAATGATGACATTTGGTGTCGCGGTGCATAGATGAAAGGCTCCACACGAACGAGAGAGCAAGGACAGCTTCTACGGTAGTAGACTTGAGAAGTAGCATTCCACACAGGTCACTGAAAAGGAATTTTGTGATGTGACTCAACAAAGAAGGGGCGCGAAGCTTCCTGCCATGGTTCGCGGAAATAAGGCACTCATCAGGGGCCTTTATTTTGGTTCTCCCCTTCAACAACACCTTGAATTCTCACTAAAACCCTGGCTGACTTGTCCGCGTCCTCTGCGACGCTTTTCTCGCAATGAGCCATTGCACCGCAGAGTTTGCAGGCTGTCGACAGATCCTGCCACACTGGCCAGCTGCTCTTCGTGACATTAAGTGCAGGAATGGGCGGCTGGCTAGGCGAAAATAGATGTTTGGTCGCGAGCACAACATACACTGCGTAGATAACGAAGAACAGCTGTTGATTTCAGGCACCAGGGCAGCAACACATGCCTAGAAACATGCATTTAAATCACACGGTCGAATGCTACCAATTGAATGTCACTATGTCCCGACGGCAAAGGTGTGTTGTGTGAAATGATGTGATACTTCGGCTTTCCTGCTCACCACTGCAGCATTTATGGATGCAAATGCAAGCTAAAGCAAGAATTTCTGCGTAGTCTCTCACCTGCGCCGCGCACAAGTGTATATACAGCAGTCAAAGAACCGAGACAACGAGCGTATCACGTATATTATGCTACGTGCCGTTGATGAAACTCTTCATCCTGGAGTGCTTTACTTAATTGTTGAAAAATCTAAGAGGCTTACTCTTTAGGGTGGAAGCATACGAATTCGAGCACCAGAAGAGATGTAGACCATTCAGAAAACCCCAATGAATGATGTGTTCGCATGAGCCAAAGGGTGACCACAAACACTGCCGAAGCTTACTACTTAGAGTTTTTATAAAAACTCTTATTTTGACTCGAGCAAAAAGGTACAAAAATTTAGGTATAAATTTTGCGAGCTGTGTATACTGGGCTGACAGAAACCTCGTTCAGTGTCCCAATGTTAAATTGCTGAAAGCAAAAGCAATGAATCGGAGAAACATGGAAAGTGCTGCGCAAAACGCGCTCGCAGTTCTTAAGCATTCACTTAGCTGGAACAGCTGTATAATAAAACCATACAAGCAAACTCTATTTTTTTGCTTCTTCATGATCAGTTATATCAGTTATATGAGCGCGCAACAAGAATCATATGGGAAAAAGAGAGGACAAAACAAAAAGCAACTGCAAACGTTGCTTATTTGTTGTAAGATACATGTTAAAACTAGTTCAATCAGTGTACAGACGCGTAAAAGTCGAGCGGCTATTGATGATGAACCTCGTAGAACGGGGCGCCAAAGAAAGGACACTTGGAGGAGAGCGCGGCTTTCAGATATTTCTGAAAACAGTGGTTAACCGGCGGCTTCCGCAGACAACACTGCCCGCTAGAGCGGCGGGCGTCGCGCAACAGCAGCGGTAGCAGCGGCGCATGTGAAACGAACGCGCGTCCTCCCGCCGCTCATCGCTGCGACCGCCGCCGCTCGTTCGCTCGCATGGGAAACAGGCTTAAGAAAGTGATATATACGCAAGTCGCTGCCGCTTTTCTTAATTCCTGTTATGTCGCCGTGTTTAGGTGCTTCTCATCCGTGCTTATCGAGTAGTTAACGGCATTCGCCCGAAGTGTTTGCCACCAAATCTACGAGCAATGATAACGAGCATAAAATAAGGGCCGTGTGGAATGCGATTTGTGAATGTTGGTCTGATGCATGTACTACGCAGATGTATGGTAGGTGCATGCGTGTTGCTTGAGGACCGATCAAACAGTTGGTGTCACTTGGGAGGAAGTATATACTTGTGCCAACGCTTTCGTTGAAGCTTGTTCTTGCGTAAGTGCGCGCGATAGATAGGGAATGCACAAGTTGGAATTAGAGAACGCTCTTGTCCGAGTGGCTTTATTAAGCGGTCGCAGATGATGGCAATATGTTTGCTTAGCAGTGTGTGCTTAGCTTGTGATAACCAACAGTGAAGGTAGTTGTGCGTGGGTGGGGAAATTAGTTTTCTTTGTTGCGGTGCCTTCCAAACAAATCCGTTATTTCTTCTCCTCATTGCGTCGGTCTCTTGATGTGGCACTAAATTTTGCTATTTGCTCTTCGTGACACTTCCTCTCGCTGTAGAATGCTCTAGTAAAAGTTGACGCGAAAGTTGCGCTGAAGTACTTAAAGTTCCTTGCAGCTATCCACAACAACATTCCTTTGTTCGTGTAATCAGTTGGACGCTCGTTATTTGGCGTGCCTTTGATAGCACAAAACGTTTCTTTTTTTTCTCTCGTTTACTGAACGGTCCGGAAAAAATTGGGGACATCTATCCCGACTGGGACAGCGTGGGCAAAGTCTTGGACAGTCCAGCAAAATTCGGGACCGCTGGTAACACTAAATTAGGCAAGTGTACAAAAATGAAAAAAATGGAATAAAATAGAAATTTCATTGCTGGGAGCATTGTCGAGCTTAAATTGCTAACCCCTAAAGGTCTTTTTAAAAGTCAACATTGCCGCAATACAGCCGTGT